TAGTAGTAGTAGTAGTAGTAGTAAAAGTAGTAGTAGTAGTACGTCTTTTTTATTCATCCATTAATTTACGTTACTTTAAAGAATTTCAAGATGACGAGTACTAAAAGGAATTTAGATATTACAGATCATACAAAACATATTTAAGTAATTGTATGTGCTCGTATCACATTTCCTTGACAAATAATAAATCTGTCAAAACACTAAACCACTATGTTTATTATAATGGTAAATATGTTTTACCCTGAAGAATAGTTACAAGAGCTTTACCTTGTTATTTCCCTACTCAAAATTTTGCTTTGTTATTCCACAACACTAACCATGACGTCTTCTGCTGTTTTATTTACCGAAACTTTATTTTAAACACAAATTGTGCCAACGTTCCAGCGTATGAACAAAGTTAAGTAACGATATGTTTACATAAGTTCACATTGTTTTCTGTAATGTTTACTTACTTGGAAACATTCCTCACATCATATAAAATCCTGAAACGTTTCTTTTTTTATTATATAATTATAAGATAGGGAAAATGCTCTCTCTCTCTCTCTCTCTCTCTCTCTCTCTCTCTCTCTCTCTCTCTCTCTCTCTCTCTCTCTCTCTCTCTCTCTCTCTATCTTAGTATAAGAGTTTTAACGTTTATTAAATTGTACATATATAAATTATGTCGACTACCGTATCGAATGTTAGTGTTAGAAATCAGTGACTTTTACATCATATGTTTATTTGCATAGCTTATAATGAACACGAAGGACCCCTTGTGCAGAGTTTAATGCTTGTTTTTAAGGCTAATCAAATGACATAATACCCTTTTACTTTTCAAAGGTCATGTTGGTTTAAGACAATTATCAGGTGAAAACTACCAATTAATAATAAACTTAATTTGTTAATTTTCTTTCTATGCCATAATGACTAAATTTGCCCTCAATTAGACTAAAAATATCACTCCGTGCAGACCTATATTATTTAATTAATAATATATCAATTTATGAAATTTTAATTTTAAGATACGTATGAATTTCAAAACGAAATGATGCAGTATAATATTTTATATTATAGTATATTGAATTTTATAGTAATTGAAGCGTTATTGTGCGACCACAAGCTACGGAGAAAATTACAAGCAAATTTAAAATTACCATGTCATTCTTATAGAGAATAAATCAACTGTTGTTGTCTGCTTGTTTATGAACATATTTTGATCGAATTTGGAAAATACATTAATCTCTTACTAAACTATTAACATTTTACAACAAAAACCACTTTTTTGCCCTCCCTGTTTGCAGAAAACCTAAGTACTCGTTAAACTAATAAATTAATTCTATTTAAATAGGGAATAAATGTGATATATTTAAGGAGGCATTTTAGTGTAAATCCAATCAGGCAAATGGAAATTCGCTTAGTCTGCAGGTTTGCTGTGTCAGGGGTATATTAGAATTGCAATGGCGTAAACACACTGATTCTTACATGAGACTGATTAGCTTTTCTATTTATGGCTAAACAATCTGTTGTAGCTCATTGTACGATAAAGGTCGTGTAAACAGTGCACCAATCACAATAGGATTGAACTCTGAACGCTTTGTTCAATTAACTCAGGCTGATTGCTTAGTTGCTTTTTGTTAGCTCATGTTAGCAGCAAAAGCAATTCAAAACTGTTGTTAGAGTGCACAATCAATGATTGAAAGATTACTATGGTGTGTTACCTCTACTTAAAGTAGAAAATATAGAATGAATGTCACTGAAAGAAGTTAAAATCAGACGATTTAATGCTTTGAATTTATACCTCAAGAAAAAAAAATCGAAATAGTTTAACTGAAGAGCGATTTCATAAATGTTTAATGCTTCCTATAGAGTTAAATGTGGTGATGTAAACATTTGCACTTTAAATTTTTTGATAGAAGTTTAGTAAAACATTTATTAGTTTTGAAATTTGTTTTTGTTGTTGTTTAACTGCTTTAGTGTGTGTATGTTTGCGTGAATATGTTCTAATTGTAAAACTAACTGGATATAACCTGTTTTTTAATGATATATTTAAATAGATTTGTGAGACATCCTTTCCCTAACAAAGAAAATGCACATATGTTGAAAAAATAAGTAACATTTTAAGTCTTTTAATTTTTAGTTACAATTGCTAAACATCACGTCATATCCTAAATCCCGAACCCCAAAACCCAGATCCAAACTCCCAATACAGTAATTTTTTTGTTTATAAATTGAAAAATCTGATAGGATTAAATTAATTGTTCGGCGTATAATGTTTATATAGACAAGAAAAACTGTTTTGCCATAAAATAATATAAACTTCGTGGTAATATAATATTGCGGAATTTTAATTCTGGGGGCAACATAACATTACACTTTTCATGTAACGAAGTGCAAAATAATTATACTTGTGTTAGTCGTCCTTGAGCTCAGTTCAAAACTGGAATATACTCTCTTCAACAAATCGTTAAGTCGTTAACTTCATACAGAACTTTTGCAGATATAACAGTGCTAAAGGCTCAGTACGTCAACCTTTGTGTCTCATAAAATAGCACAATGTAACTTAAATCTTACAAAAGGTTTATAGCTAAGATTGATCATTTGATTAAAAAAAAGGTTTATAAAATGAGACAAATTTCCAAGCTTAGCAACAATATGTTTACGGTAAAAGAAATGAATAAGTAAAGTATAATTACCACAGGAAACATAAGTCATAGTTGGCTCATCACTGCGTTATTTTTACATTTTATCACAGTATCGTCAAATATTGCATGACTGCTTCCCTCGGCTCTGAAAACTTAGGCCTCGTGGGGAAATAAATCTTGGAGTTATCTCTCAGTTTCTTCTACACTAAATGGTATGACACTTTAAGCAATATCAGTTTTCCATCAGTTATCAAGTTTAATACAGTATTTGTTTCAGTTGAGTTTCGTAGATTTATATAATTTACATTATAAAAATTTTAACGTTTTAATGTAGGCTATCTGGGATCTGTCTATCGTACGTAGCTCTAATATTTTTTTCTTAAGCAGTATTTATACTTACAATATGATATTTAAGGTACTGTACACCTTTTACCAGGTATATATCAGTACAAAAAGCTGATTCCTGTATTCAGTGAGTATGAGATGAAGTATGAGTTAAATGCAAGTTACAGCTGTGGTAGGACAATAATTCGTCTTACCATACAAACACAAAGCATTAGCATCATGTCACGTGTAATGGTTTAATTACACTGCCTTCAGCCAACCTCCTGTCATCATCATGTGTCTGAATATTAATGGTGTAGAATATTACTACTATTATGATAATCCATCATGAGTATTGTCAAAATGGTCCAATTATATGAAAGTACAGACGGTTTTATTGTTTTATATCCTAATGTAACGAAAGAAGTATAAAGAGTTGGTTGATTGCAATTTTACAAATGAACCAAACAAGATTTCTTTAACACGATCTCCATGTTGTTGATAAATACAGCTCTTGTAACTTGGCAATCCTTACGAAAGAGTTTGGTTTATTATTATTCTACTATTGGAAAAATCTATAAGTTTATTACTCGTTTTTTTTTTTTTGTACTATGAAAAGTTTAACCATCAGCTTGAAGATACTACATCACATCTGCAAAATCACCTTAAGTAATTTAAACTTTTTCGTTAGCTTCTTAGGACAAGTCTTGGCTTATTCATTCCAATAATAGAATGTTTCATAATATATTAGAATTTAAATACTCAAATTCTCATTTTTTTAAGATTAATTAATTAATTTGACAGATTCTTAAACATTTAATTTATTGCAATTGCTTCAAAATCGAACATGCCGTAAAATAGCAAAATTTATTATTGAAAGAGGTGTTCATATCTTTGAAAGAGTAGTTAAATACAATCGGTTCCGACTATTGAACTAATACGTATTGACCACCAAAATATGTATACATTGAAAATCGTTAAAGTGCCTGTATTAATTAGTGACAGAGTGTACAGTAATTCCCATTCATTCGTCTCACACATTGTGTGATATATTTGACAGACTCATGTCCTTTGTATTTGGTCAGCCTTATGAAATATTCTGCAACACCTGTCATGTCATCATCGGAGTACAGCATGTATTGTGACAGGGCTTTTGTTGTAACTGCCTGTCGTCTTTGGAACAATATTTTCTCTTTTTCTCTCCAAAAAGATGCTTGATAACTGTCCCAGACCCATTGAGGCACCCAAAACATTTTTAGAGTGTAACTCTTTGGATAGTTCGTAATAGGATTATTTTTACCCTCGATTAATTGCTGAGTTTATGAGTTCAAATTTATGAGTGATTTGATAAAAAATTTAAAAATATATTTTACTGTGAATATACAGTGTTTTTACGAGCGTTCATTTTCAGAGTGAGTTCGTTTTCAGTTTCGATAACTGGAGTGGAGTGATAGATTACATTATCTTTGAGTCGGCTCTTTTAAGTCATCGGAAATTATGACTGTTATTCGTTTTGAAATAACGCCTGAAATACTTTGCAAATGCTCGAATTCGAGCAGTAGGTGCACTAGTATATAATAAAATAGGTGTTTGTTTTGGCCAAAGTCTATAAATCGAAATTAATGAAACAACATTTTCATAATGTGGTGCATTGCATCTTTGAGTATTGAATTAGAAATTCCATTCCTAAGTTAAACATTTAGCAAGTTTCACAGTAAAATAAATGTGGTTGAGCTCATCCGACATATGCTGCTGTTTCTTACCGATTTCTGCTGTTTAAACTAACTCACTTAAAATTATACCAACTTATTGGAAACTTAGTGGTACTTATTTCGACTTAGGGGTTTTAGCAATATCACTTAGATAAAATCCATTGTCAGTTTGGTGGATTTGAAGCCGGCAACTCAGGGACCGAAGTCCCGCGCTCTACCAATGGACCAGCTCGCTCCCCTGCGTTCAATTTATCAGAACTTGTTTATCAAAATATAATAATATTACTCAATTCACATACGCTTGTCAATGCAATAAAGTGACAGAGTTTGTAAACATTTCCAGTTCTTTGTTTCCCAAAGGAGACGTCATCTCCAATGTATCTCTGAAGCCTTTCATCTTCAGCCTGTCTTCAAACATCTTCTACTAATGGATTTACTTTGCTGAAAGCTGCCTCCAACGCTTCGACGTATTTACATATCTTATGAAATAAATTGTGCTCAAAGTACTAAGTGTGGAATCAAATCATGTTCACTTTTACATCCTCAGTTTTTTTAAGTTTTTTCAGACATTTGCACGTTAATAAAATGTCCAATTCGCTATAAGAAAATCTTACGTATTTGTGTAGTTTACAATAATTAGTAATTCTTGTAAGGCTTAAGGGATTATGGTAGATTTTTGTCAAAATTTACAAATATATTACTCATTAATATTAAAGGAAAACTTTATCATAATACATTGTGGTTATGATGTGTTAACATTGATGACACCATTATTGAATCATATTATTCTCTATCACGATTGACAAAGGCATAAAAAATAGTTATGTGTGTATATAGTGTAAAAATTTTTTTTTTCTTATTCACAATGAATAATCTAATAATAGCCTTGTTTACATAACTGATAAAACTGACCTTTATTATTGAAATATAATTTGCATGTACTTCATCATACTTAGACTATTGTATATTAAACTTTTCAGTAAGACATTGATTTGATCTAAATACGTAGTGTATTATTATAATGTCAAGCTATATAATAGCTTAACTATGCTACTTTTAGCTTACCTCCTGCCATCATCATCTTTCTAAATACCTATTAATGATGAATGAACTACTTAATAATTGATAATTATTCATTAATTATCTGGTATCTATAAAATAGGTTATATTATAATGCCAGATATTATTAAGAATTTTTTTAAAGCAACGCAGATTGATAAATTATGAGTTTGCTAAAAAAACCTTTTCGTAACTATTTCTTTATACTACTTATTTTACAATTTTTTTACTACACAATTTTTCTTGATTAACAGTGACGTATGTAATTAGGCTTTAACATTCTACCTCCGTATGGTCAATATTTCAAAAAAAACTATTTCGTATATTTATTTATTAATTAATGATTGCATGCCCCTACATCTTTCTGTTTAACATAACATAGAAAAGTTTAATAATCTATACAGCTGTTTATGAATACTCAATTATTCTTTTTGTACTCATGAATTAACTCTGGTACAAACTAATCTAAAAAATAGGGGGCAGGGCACATAAAAGTATATCTAGATTTTAGTGAACACTGGTTTGTAGTACTGTGGCACAAAAACAGTTCAATTTAAAAGATTATTTTACAAAGTTAGATGTTTTATTTCTAAACTAAAGTTAGATGTTTGTGTGGTGACCATAGAATAGAGGAAATAAGGTATTGGTTAAACATAAAGATATTTGAGATTTCCATTTCGGAAAAACGAGTTATAATATAAATTCGTTACATTAAATGGCAAATGCTGCTTTTGGGGACGATACAAACGTTTTACCTCTAATATCATAAAACGAAACATTTCAAATTTTCTGTGTATTTTTCTAACCATTTTTCATTGTCCCTTCAATATAGCGCGAACAGTCTATCCTTTTTAAACACATATACCGTTTCCCAATCAAAACAGTTCAATGTCAAAAGAAATATGACAGTACTGTGCGAGCGTTTAAAAAAACAAACCTACTCTCAACTACACTGAATTTAATTCAATGTAAAAAGAACGAGAGCGTACCTGGAGTCGCGAAAACCCGTCACCTTTAATAAAAACTGGCGGTGGCGGGTTGTCGGGTTGTCGGGGTGGCACCTTGACGGCAGCCTAGCATTGCAGCGCACGGTCCAGTTATATTAGACTAATAAGAGATATGAATTAAAAACTAACTGTTCCTTGGATATTAAGATTTTCCTCTGCTTTGATAGTATACTATAGTATAGTTGCGTCAAACAATAGATTTAAGAATCGTAAAAGCCTAACCCGCTTGATTACGTTATATATTTTTGGTCTTTATAGACTATTTTAAGATGGAAATGACATTGAAACTCATAAAAAGACAATTTATTAGTTATTTCATGACGGAAAGTGTGGAATTTATATCTAAATTACATTTACTCATCCGTATTCTACTAACTAAAACGATCTTGAACAAGCCATTTCGCTAAGAAGTGTTCAATTCGAAGGACGAACAAAACAATTGGAGATAACAAGAGCTTTAGCTGGATATCAGGGAATCGCTCGTTGATTTTCTGTAGTTGATTAGTTCTCATTTTGATAGAAACTGTTAACTAGTAATATTTCCATTTACTGTCATTATAGAGAATTTTTATCAACATGAATTTATAGGAATCCGGTTTATGTATAAAATATGAGCTATGACAATGTTGTTCTAATGATATAATGCTAGGTATATTAAAATCGTTAGTAAACTTTCAACTGTAAATTAATTTAACACGAGTTAACATTAGCTTCTGTTGACATTATTTATTTGCTCCTATGTTTCCCATTATCATTAAGCCCGTGTAAACTAATCTTAGTTGTCCTCTCTCATTTTTCAAATCTGTTTTAGCACAAATAAACCTACGTTAGGGTATACATGCAAGACCAAGGGATAAGCTGTTAACTTTGTTTTCTACGATTTAAAATATATCACACCATAATTGTTCATGAACTATTATGTCTAATAGTTTCTTGTATATTTTCATTAAATGCAACTGTGGCCAAAACCTTTGTCTTAACACATTTGATTTTTGCTGCATCATCATTGTACAATCTGTTTTTCGCCTCGTTGGATTTTTGTGCCAGAAAAATAAGTTCTTAAGAACAAAGCCAAATGGTACATCAAATATTTAGACTGCAAATTGCCGTATTGTACTATGTTCAACATATGATATTTAGTTTAGTTCTGGTTAACGATAATGGCCATAGTTAATTCCCTTGGTTATGTTCAATGTGTTGGAATCGAAGTAGTTGGCAGAAGTTACAGTACCTCTGGGAACACATTTTGGATGTAGTATCAAGGTTATCTGGTAAGTTTCTGTTTAAATTAGGACACTATTCAATGTTGAGTTGGTTTGATAACTACTCAGGGTTCAAACTTATGGTAAGAAATTTATAAACTTGTAACTAAATAAATAACTTATTATATATAAATATACTATAAATTATTATTTTTATTTGTAAGAAAATAAACTCTTAATCCATGCCAGTGTTGTTAAAATATAGTATATTATTCTTACTAAACTCATCCGTGTTTTATTCTTCTTATAGTATATCTCACTACTCCAACCTTAATATCATTACATTGGCTAGGTTACTACTCTTTAGGTTGGTAATGAGTTTAAGCATATAGTTTCATATGATGATAGGTTCTTAGAGCAAACAACTTATATCTAATTATAGTATACAGGGTGTCTAGTAAGTAAGTGCCAAGAATCTAGGTATATGTTTTACGGTTCAAATTCGGAGGAAAATATAGAATAGCATTTTCTCTATTAATGACGCGTTAGTGATATATGTGCCACTAGATTTTTTTTTATTTATATCTCCAAAAAATTTAAGATAAATTTACAAAATAAGTTAATTGATTTGAGCTAGCATTAAGCCGATTGCAAAAAGTCAGTAAAATATTTTTGTTTCAAAATGGTGGTAATTTAAAAGTTTTATTTAAAAAAATAAATAACTGAGTTAATGAAAGCTAAACAATTCAAGAACACAATTTTTTACTGTACAGGTAGTAAAATAAGGCCAATCTGTCATTGTGTCAAGGGATAGGTATTTATCATGTTGTGCCCAAAATGATTCTTCGCCAATTATCATTTGATCGTGATGTTCTTTGGAAAGTTTTAAATGCTAAAAGGTTATCCTTGAATAGTTTTATGAAATCAGCCACTTTTATAATTTTAGTTATAAAATAAACACATAATGTTAAGGTTTCCTTGAAAAATATAATTGTTAATCTCATTTATATTCAAAAGTAAAATAACTCGTGGTAGAACAAAAATAATCAACAAGGTAAATATAATAAAGAAATGGTTACATTGTTCCAAGTACAATAGTCAACGTTTAGTCCCTAAAAGGTGTTAATTAATATGAATCCTAATAATATCATTTAGTTCGATTAAATAGTTAGTTTAATGCACTACCCAAATCGTCACTCATATTTTTATTGCTATTTTTATTGCGGAAAAGTTTTTATTGCTACGAATACGTATTACAAAATTAGAAACTAGAAATTTTAATTAAAAGAACTAATACCTAACCTGAAAAAGAATTTACAATGTATCCTTTATAAGAAGAAAACTATACCATTTTGCACATACTTCCATTAAGAAATAAATGTCATAGTACTACAATGGGTGTGGTTAATACATATTGAAGTACAATTGGATTTCAGTAAAGCATGATGTGTAAACATCCAGACAACAGTTAGCCAACTGTAAACTGTGATAGACAGAAAGTCAGATAACAGTTGGACAGTTATAACAGTGATGATCTGTACACATTGATACAAATAATCCAGCTGGTTTTGTTTGAAATATCACTAAATCAACTTCACGATTATGCACCATGTTTCACATTAGTTTTCAGTTTTATTTCGTTACTGTTTTACTCACAACCCATGTGAAAAGACGTCACTCAAGATCGGTTCAATGATCAATAAAAATTTAGTTTGAATAAACACTTCTGGAACCAGTTTAAGCGTGTAGTATGGTGCTTCATAGTCTGTAATATTATACACGGGTGGACGAAATATAGACTTCATTTAAATGGGTAGAGTTTAAAAAAAAAATATAAAAAATTGAAAATGTGGTTGAATTCGTGTACAAAAGAATACTGTAGATTATTGTATAGAACATTGTTTTTATTGTGTTTTCGCCAATATCATGGACACTCTAAGATCTTAACACCACCTGCTTTTGCAAAGTAGTCTACATTTTCAAAATTTTCCTGTATATTTCTGAAAATTATTTTAACACCTTTTAAGGCCAAATATCTGGTAATATTTCTCCAACTTTTGCTTGAATATTGTATATTCTGTATTGGGATGGACACTAATATTTTTTATCTACCTCCTAGACAGTTATTTATTTATTTATTTATTACGCCACATTTCCAAT